ACAGTCCTAACAAGTCGATAGACTTTGCCATCGTTTACGCTCTACGCTTACGGATGGCTTTAATAACAACACTAATGTAGTCGCCGAATAACGCTTCGTCGAGTCTTTCTTATCTAGCAATTCTTATCGTGCTGCAAGTAAAATCGTTTTGATTTTGGCTTCTTTGTACAAGAATATGCGTTACTTGAGGTCGGTGTGATCTGTCTCTCTTTACCTCTCTCCCCTTCTCGTTAAAGCAGTTTATTATTAGGCGTATTCTCGATGTAACAACTACGTTGAGACGTGTTAAAAATCGATTCATCGTTGTCTCAATTTTAGCGCTTTCACTGTATCTCGAATTACGTTCGAGTTGGCATTAATATTCCGTTTTTGCGAGGATCTATCCCCCCATTCGGCATATGTTACTTTGACTTAAAATTAAGTTATGCAAACGTTCCTACGCTGAGATTGGAAGAGGGTAAAGTGTGAATTGGATTTGTACTTGACGTTTTTGATTTTATTGTAATCTTTCTTGTAAAAAAGAATCTTGCTCACTTTTATGTGGTCTTTTATAAGTTCTTGCATCTGAAGAATCTTTTACATATAAGTACTAACGAAACTTACAATTAGATAAAATAAAAGATTATTGTTAAAGAATCAAAATGTTTCATAAAAACAATTTTCTAAGTCGATGCTGTTCATAGATATTTTACTGTTCGAAACATTGAACATATTTTGGCATGAAATATAAAATATCTCGTAGACTATTGATTTTTTGATAACTTTACTTTAATACTTTTATATTAAGAATATATTTAAAGGAATTATATCATGAAAAAAAATGATTTAATTCGATTTAAAAAATGGTTATAATTTTTATATAATCTTGAAAAATTGAATTGCTGATTCTGGGGGGCTTTTTTTTTTAATAATAGATATAAAATATTCAGTTTAACATTCCTCAATCGATTAGTATGCAATTCATTACTATACGTGAGAAGTTCAAAATGGGCAAGATTCTTTCAATATACATATATAATAAGACCAATTTTCACTTTAAAGCCAAATTGAAGATAAAAGTGATGGATTTTTTAAAAAGACTGGATCACCGCGACCAAATTCTTGTCTCGAATATTTGCAACTGGCACTTCTACGTAATCGCTGTTACTATTATATACAGCATCTTGCTTCTACTACGACTGTGATTAACACTATTGCTAACATTCGCATCCGTGATTCGTCTTCAAGCAATAGGATGCGAGAATTATTCGGATAATTTGATTTTATCGAATTTTAATATGTCCTAACACACTCATATCCGTTCATAATTAATTAACGTATGTACACAGTATTCCAAAATCACTGGGTGAGTTTTAAGAACCTTCTTTGCATGATTTCGAGTAATATATAATTAGTTCGAGTAATTTATCATTATGCGCGGTATCATGTATTTCGATACCCGAACGGTTTTATCATATTGCAAATAATAAATGAAAAATTTTGCTATTTATCTTATTACACAAATTAATTACGAGAAATATCAAATATATTCATACAAATCCTCTTGTAGACGATAATATATGAAATGATATAAATACATCTCATCTATTGTTTTCACGTCGAAATACGCGATACTTTCCGAGTTCCGGTCATTCTGAAACTCATATAAACTCCATCGTTATTGACACATCCATATGTAGGAAAAAGGTCTTTGTTCACGAGAAATGAATGGACCTCAAAAACTCACCCATGTGATGCTGAAAACTTGCTGAATACCGTGAATACGGCGAAAGCGTGGCATTCGTGCGTCGAGGACAAAGCACGAAGGTTTTCGATACGAATAACTATACAAAATCGTAGTCTACAAAAGGACCTTTTTTTGGATGACCAAATTGTGGTCGTTGAGTATGCGTTTTCGTGTAAGGTCATGAATGTCACCCTTTGCACTCAAAATTAATTTGATAACTTCCTATTGTTAAAGAATTTATCTGTTTAGTTTCCTAGCTGAAAGAAAACACGGCAATTCAGAAATATTGTAGAAATTATCCAGTGGATGGAAGCTTTTCTGATTTTGATTTAGATTTATAAATTAAATTAAATTAAACTAAATTAAAATATTTCATAGCTTAAACTCTTATTATTTAATTTATGATAAGAAAATATCCGTCAGTTCAGTTACGTAAGGTATTTCTTAAGTACTGTTCAATATTTCAAAATATCAATATTAAAAAAAATTGATTTTTTAAATCATTTTATAAGGAAAAATTTATATGATTATATAGTCTCAAAGGTCTCACTTCAAATATACATAATATTAAAAATTCTATAAAATTATAATTTTTTAGTCTTTAGCAAGAGTGTATACTGCAATAAAATAATACCTAAACATTACTGAAAAATTTAATTCCGTAATTTAATTAGCATATTCAAGACACAGTAATGTGAAATATTATCTAAGCTTCGTTTTTACGCCATCGACTTTTAATAAAACGGCGATTATATGTAAAAAATGAGTAATACCTTATCTATTACTGGTCCGAGTTTTAAAAAGGAATTTCTTTTCACACTTACACACACACACGCGCGCGCGCGCACGTGCACACACACACACAGCAGCTATTAAAAAAAAAAAATAATAATTTTTAGAATTTTTAACACCCTATATCTTTTGAGACTATATGTTCATATATGTTTATGAAAGCTTCTCTAAAATAATATCAAAAATTTCTAAAGTACTAGACAGAGGTACATTCAGAATTTTCTCGGGAGAGAGTTTTAATTCTGTTATCACATCAATAGTAATTTTTTAATTTTTTTACGTTAATTGCTTTTGGTTATTTTAGAGCTTAAAAAGCTTCCTTCTCATTCCTGATTTTAAATAGGAAAAATACTAGGTTTTATAAGTCAAACTTTTATTTTTTTTTCCTGAAAGAAGTGTAGACAAAATACTGCAGTTATTAAAAATAAAATATGTAACTGCCATATGTACTGAAGTACCATTGATATTTCAATGCATATTCTTTTCTTCAGCTCAAAAACTTTGGGAAAGTTTTCCTTATGTATCGGATTCCAGTTAGCAAATTGATAGCAAATTGTCGCCAACAGTCGCCAAGTTCACATCAAACTTACTCAGAATTGGTGATAAATTCGATGCCATCTGTCAGCAATAAGCTCACGTTTTGCTAGCAAAGCCTGCGTATGTATGTGTATATAACTAGACAGCAAACTGGTAACAAAAACCAAGCATAGCTTTGGTCGGTTTTAGTTTTAGTTGGTTCTCGTTCTCAATTCGCTCAGGTTGTCAGTGAGCTTTGCACAGTTTTTTCGATAATTTGTTATCATGTTACATCAGTAAATGTTGTATATTTACTATCAATTTGCTGACATCATTGAATAACAGAATTTGCATTAAATTTGATGTTTTTTTTGTTAACAAAATTTGTAACAAGCATTTAACAAAATTTATTTTTTACAGTCTTGGCTGACTGGAGATATTCTGTCAAAGCCCAACTAACGAAAGTCCGAAAAATTATTTTGATAGTCATAACGACAAGAGAAAAAAATATTTTGTGTGACAACAAAAAAATTACTTAGAGTAAAAAATAAAGTATTATTGTATAATTAAAAATGAATAAATGAATAAAAAATTTCGAAGGGGTTTGAATCCTCAAAGCGCTTCTCATCTAGATGTCATCATGTCATGCTGGATAGCACTTAACATGAGCAGGGGAGGATAGGAGAGGATGCGTATCTTCTCTCGAAATTTTGGCAAGGAGAAATAATTAAATTATACAAATTTTTACAATAAAAAATTAAATACTTATTACCCAATTTGTGGCTCAAACGTTGCTCGTAAAGTTCACTGAAACTTCTTGAAAGCTGACTTTAATATAAGTATTTTAATAAATTTTGTTTGAAAATACATTTTGCCCTTTTTCTCTCCTGACTGAAATCCTGGGTACGCCATGTTTAAGAAATCCTCCGTATAATTCTGTATACGTAACTACGTGAGTGCAAAGAGTTGAACAAGTGTGTCAAATCATTTACATCTCATGGAAATATACAAAACTTCTGGCGCTTATAAAACGCTGCTGCAAGATTGATGAAGTCCTTCATATTGGTCGGAAACTCCGTGAAGGATGCTGAAGGAGGAATCCATCGCGATTGGAGATGACCAAGTTTGAATACTACGACGAAAACTCAGAAAAGGTCGGCGAGTCGCTGTAGCATAGAATATGCTCCTCGTTCGGGCATGATTCTTCTTTCTTTGCGCGCGCTTCTACTCTCTCGGAGATGCTGCTGATCACGCCTTCGTTGCGATCTCTCGGCTCAAGAAGGAAACAGAAGAGTATATGGATTAGAAATCGCGATGTTCGCTGTCTCGTAATGATATAAAGCTATAATGAACATAATGAAGCATAATGAAAAAATGATGAAAAGCGCTACAATAAACAATATAGCGAAAGGGTTAGTAATGATAAAACTCCCCAGAAAACAAATTTTCGAAAGCAAACAAAAAGAAAATGTTCTGCAAAGCAACTAAATAAATACTGTCAAGTATCTACTTGAGCAATTAAATATATGATCATAAATTTCAGCCAATTTAAATTCCTCGAGGATAGAAAACGAGGATAAAAATGATATCTTGGCGATAGCTTCTCATAAAAGAAAAAATGTATTTTTCGCTGACCAAGCTTTCGTAATTAAGCTAATGAGAGTAAGCTGAGCTCGATTAGACCTCACTATCAGGATATTAGGTATTTCAAAAAGCCGTTCATCTCGTCGATATCCCTATGGAAATAATTCGCGCTATTAAAGATGAGGAAAATCCATCACCTGATCAGAATCGTGACGTGGCTCAGCCTGACTCCTCTCGCGCGCTTGGCACATCGCCAGGCTCATCGGCGGGCTGGCTGTGAGTTCCGGCAGTTCCTGAACGGTCGACAGCTTGCGCTCCTCTTCGTCGTCGTCGTCGTCATCGCTCGATGCTCTGGACAGGGAGGGAGGTGTATGAGAGCGACCTAGCTAACGGAAGTTTCTTCGACCGACGGACTCGCCAGCGCCTGGGTCTCACCGTTCGCATGCTTCCGCTCGTCCGGACGTCCCGCGCCTCCGCGAGACATCGGGGGGCTGCTACGAGAGCCCGAGGTCACGCTCTGCATCGTCTGGCTGCGACCGCCGGCGAAGCGCATGCTGTACGCCGCGCGATTACCGCTCTGCATGCCGCTCGTCTGTGAAGGCCCGAATGAACTTTAGATATCATTGGACGTCAGGCATTTGGAGAACAAGGGATTTTAGCCTAATATTAAATTCCCTCCGGCTGTGTTTCTACAATGCTCATCAATGCACATCAAGAACGATTACGCGCGGATTTACCAAGCGCATAATAAGCATCTCGATTAATGGATTGGAAATTCATTGCTCGATAAATTCTGCACAAATAGTGCGGTAACTTACGCTAAACATTAAATTGATCAAATCGTTAGCGTTAGTGTTAGCATACGCCTTTACATCAATTTCAATCCGACATTTATGCGCCTTCGTGCGCACCGATGCATCCAGTCCAATTTGGTATAACATTCACAATCAATTCTGCAACGTTTGAACACAGTGTCCACGTTCACTGGTCTGTGCCTGACTCGTGCATGCTTTCTCTCCTAGAGATATAGATTTATAGAGACTCGATATGCTTTCGCAACTGTACTTTAATAGAGCGTATTACTTGATGGATATTATTTATAAAGAAGCCCAGATTTCCACACATTTAATCTAAAAAAAAAGTTTTTAATATAATTTAAATAAATAAATAAGAAGACCTTACGGTGTGATTTTCTAAACGAATTATGCGGTCAAATTATTATAAGACAAACTAGTTTTTTCATCGTACTTTAATTTTTAATAAATTGTATTAACGAATTTTCTACGATCAAAACATACGCGATAATTATATATAGTAGTATATAATTAATTTCAATAGCTTCTTTCCTTGTTTTATTGAAATGCTTTGTCGTGTGCTGATTCTCATTATGGAATATGAGAAGCAACATAAATAGCTTCAATGACGGAAATTGTTCTGATTTAATAATTAATATCCAGGAATTAGCTGACCGTAACGTTAACAAAAGATAGTATTTGGAAGGGAAATATGTTCGTTCTAGAAAATTGAATCAGTAATTTGCACTATATTGTGCTCTCTAATCAATAAACCGTTTATAATACGAACCTCAATGTATGTGTAATTAACTGTAGTATTAAATTAAAGTTTGTTTCGACATACTTGTTGTACAGAGAAAAGATTAATAGGTAGGAATCTGTCCTCTTGCGAGAGGAAGAGAAAGCGATAATTTGAACGAGTATTATAGATATATAGTAAAAACTAAATTAAGTTTTCAAACAGGAAAGTTACTCTTTAAAATCTTTATCGAATTAAAAAAATTTGTTTTTTATTCCTCTCTGCACTAGATTATACTAGAACTTTCTTTTTCTTTTGTTTTCGCCAAATATCAAATATATATCTATCTCATTTTCAGTTTCAAAAGTGTACACTAGTTCAACCATAGGAAACAGGCCTTTAATGTAACATAAAAGTCATTTGAAAATCCGTAAAAAAGATGGTTGTTATTAATGAGATTAATAGTTTAAATTATCTAATTCCTGGGAATTCTAAAATATCCTGTCTATTCTGTTTTACGGATTAATTGTTAAATGAGACAAGGAACAAAACCTGTACATACATTGGGATGACCAGGGCGGACGTTCTTGTAAGGCTGGAACAGTACCAGGTAGACCTTGGGCGTGAAGAGGCAGCCGAGGGCGACGGAAGCGGAGATGTTGATGCACATGCACATGCTCGCGATCTGAACCTGCAACGTAGGCAGTTATCCGCTCGACTTATATGTTGACACAGAAAAATGCATATGAGATTCGTGTGTATATCTGTGGGTGTGTGTGTGTGTGTGTGAATACATGTGCATAATTCGCGTTCGTAAACTCGCGATGTGCGGCACAGACCTTGTAATCATTGTTGGTGCCGAAGTAGATGGGCACAAAGGCCAACCAGACGATGCACGTAGAATACATAGTAAAGCCGATGTACTTGGCTTCGTTAAAGTCCTCCGGGATCTTACGAGTCTTGAACGCGTACAGGGTGCACATCAGGATCAGCAACATATTGTAAACGAGAGACATCATCAGCGAGAAGGTGGACACACGGCACGTAAGTACAGCGGACAGTGGATATGGATGGATCTCCGTGGTATCGGGCGGTTCGATCATCAGCCACACGATAGTGCCGATGAGTTGCACTGCAGTGATCCCTGCATAAATGGGAGTCACGTAATCCAGGATCAGGCTCTGCGTATTTTAGAAGCTACTGTTTACATTGTTAATCGAATAATGAATGGAAACCTGAGAGAACATTTGCAATGTCACTAAACTACATATTTCTCCGAATCATTTCCTGTTTACAAAAATAAAATTATATATGTATAGTAGTATATAATTTACAAGACTTTATAATTGATAAAAAGCATGATTAAGAGAATTGTAATGCATTAAGTTATAACTTTCTCTCTAATAAAAAATTATAATAAAAATCATTTATAAAACTTATAAGATTTTTTAGGAGACGGAGAGAGAGAGAGAGAGAGAGAGAGAGAGAGAGAATCAAGAAAATAGAATAATGATTAATTCACACCATTTTGCAAATATTTAATTAATTTCTAAGTTTAAAAAAAATAAGAATATAAGAGAAGTGACGTTTTGATCGAAACAATGCAACAAGTAAGGATTGCGGTTAAAAATAAAGTACAAATTTATGTGTATTCTAGAGAGAAATTATTGATGCGAAAGTTTATCGTAAGAATCGCATCATTATTTCTTTTTTTCGGTCGAATATGGCTTTCATTTTACGTTACGTTGAGCATCGGCGTGCAATTATCCTCTCGATGCCATAGCTTGCCAACGTGTTTACCAAGGTGAGTGCAGCTCGTACTCACCGATAGCGATTACCACTTGGCTCTTGGGCGATGTGTAGGAGAGCCTCTTGATCTTCTTCGTGCCCTGGTTGAATATCCGCGATATACGATTGGTTTTCGTGAGGATCGCGCTGTAACATATACTGAGACAGAGGCCCAGACCAATTCTGAGGTATGTGCAATTCCATGTGGTTGGCTTGCTCAGTATGACGAAGCTCATGCCGTAGCAAGAGAGAATTCCCACCAACAGAACATAACATAGCTCACGTCCCGATGCCATAATAACAGGAGTGCGATTAAATCTATTCAAACACAATATATTCATACAATTCATAATAAAATTGATAGGATCTGTCAAACATTATATTTCAATTAATATTTGCAAAAAATATTGTACATTAATCTTATGTTTTTTAAAGAGATTAAACAATTTAAAATATTAAATGTTTCTGCAAATATACAATTCAATATCTTTCTTATTTGTATATTCCTTTATTTATTTATATATTATGTTTTACGTTTTCGATTTTCTTTAATATCTGGAGGAGTGCAAAACTTCTAATTTTCATTGTTAATAATCTTGAGAAAGACATGGTCATAGGTTCAAATTTTATCATTACTTTTTCTTTAGATATTAACTCGTATGATAATTTACTTAAATTATAAACGGTAATTTACATAAAAAAAGTACGCGAACTTTATAATTACATATTAATTTTTTAATCTCAATAAAAATTAAAAAGTAACTCCAAAGTTTAAAAGTTCTATTTCTTTTTATGTGTCTATATATAGTAAAATGCAGAAAACCTTTCAGCTCTTTAATTAAGTAAGTTTAATAGGTCTCTTATTAAGCTTTCGATTAAATTTTCGCTCCGAAAGCATCGACTTTATATCTTTTGAAGCACTCTTTTTCAATGCTAATATTCCCCGCTAATATTCCCCGTTCAACCTTGTTATATTTTCATTAAAAAAGATGATTGTGAATCAAATTCATACATCACTCTCGTATAAATCCAGAAAAGTGTTTTTATATTACTTATATTTTTATTTAGTGTAATAACAAATTTTATGGCCTAATCGTATATATTATTTGTTAATATTTTGCGATTCGCAGTAATCGTAATAGTCTATACATTTGACTGATTGTAAAACAAACTACTTCTATGATACGAGGCATAGATTTTTTACCACAAATAAATATTGAAATATAAGCATTGATTAAAGCTAAAATACTTATATTTTTTATATGCAAAGATTACATTTTTTTTATTAAGTGACATAATAAATTTTAACTTTTGCATTTAATTTTATTCTTTTCCAGACAGTTAAAAATAACAATTTATTTCAAAAAGTCATAGACATAAGGGTATTGAACATAAATAAGCAAAGAATGTTTGGTCAAAGCAAGTCTTGGTGCATAATAATATTTTTGTGTAAATGACAATTTCTAGCAAACTATACTATGTTGATTATTTTTGGGTCTAGAAACACAATCATATTCACAATAAGAATCTTATTACCGCACATTTAAAAACTTAACAAATAGGAAATAGAAAATAATGGTCATAACGGTCAAAGCTAGATCTTTTAATGATTAAATAATTTAATGTGAATTAATATATATTATTGGGTTGGAGGAAAAGTTCTGCGGTATTTTGTTAGCTCAAAATTATATATACAATATCTTCGTTATAAATAATCAAAATTTAAATTTAAAAAAAGGGTTTTAAAGCTCTCGGTAAAAAATTTTTCATGCATGAATATGTATAAATATGTATAAACATGTATAAACATACATAAACACGCATAAATATTCATAAACATGTATCATTATATATGAAATATGTCCATACATGTTCATACATCCTTCTTTCTTTTGTAAAATTACTTTTTAGTGTAATAGAAATAATAATAGTAAAGTGAAAACATAAAAAATAATTAAAGGGATAATTTTCGCATTGTTTGTTTAGAAAAAAACAAGTTTGGAAAAAAGTGAAAAAAATTGCTCACACATAATTATGCATAATTTTATATATAATTGTACGTAAGTAATTTTTTTACATTTCTTCAAACTTGATTTTGTCTAAAACAAATAGTGTAAAAATTACCTTTTTAATTATTTTTGAATAATTGAAGATGTCACTTTTACGAAGTATGACATATCAATTTTTTCCAATAATACGAAATATTAAATTTGTAAATTTGTATAAATAAAGAAGAGTCTCTAGAATACAAATAATATTTTTTTGTAACTTAAATCAATAACATTAAGAAGTTATTCAAGAATAAAAGCTTAAGTGTGGCGTCTCCCTCCCCCCCCCCCCCCCAATTACCTTATCACTTTATATTATATTTATAGTCATTCGAATTACGCGCCGAAAATTTTCTCGGACTAAGGCCCGGTTGCACCAATGTTACTTTAAGTATTGTTTAAAACGCAGGGGCTAAACTATACTGAAATAATGTATCACAATTAAATTTTTAATGCTCAATAGGTATCTATTAACGAGATCTTAACATGCTGGAAATCTGGAAATAAATTTATTTTAAGTACAATCATATCTATTGTAATAGATATAAAAATAAATCATATCTATTGCAATAGCTAGAAATTGCTTTAAAATTATATATACTATAATGAAATCCCGAATTAAACTTTTATTTAAACAAGATCCAATTAGACTTATCTGAAAAAGGATTTGCTAAAAGATCTATAATTTATTAAATTGCAACATTATGGAGGAACATTCTACATAGGAAATAACGAAGAAACAAAATGCGTCTCACCGTATGAAGACGACCGTAGTAAAGAGAGTGCTGAGGATCCCGATGGACGCGAATATTAGCGGCACCAGCGCCCAAGGACTCGTCCAGGGTATAACTTCAGCGGTGAGCTTAACGCAGCCCGTCATTGTGGAATTCGGTGCATACCCGGGATTGCACTTCTTGCACGTGTCGTTGTATACATAGGCGTCTTCTCGGCAGGCAACGCAACTCCAACAGCAGGGTTCCTGGAAATTGTCAGATTCTGTTATAATACGTAGCACACACACAACACACACGACCAAGCGAAGACAAATAATTGACAATTAATTATTTGTTTTGACGAATCGTGAATGATGAATAAAAAAGGAGCGCTCACAGCAGATTGTCAATATCAATTGTTAATGACTATTATTATTAACAATTAATGATGTTGATTGACAATTTAATTGCTATTATTAATTAATGGTTTTATAATAATGTTATGCATTCTATTGATTTATCGAAGAAACACGTTACAATCTACGATCCAGAGATTAAATTCTATAAATCCGTGGAATTACTGAATTAATTGCTTAAAACGAAATATAGTAAAAAAATTGAGCTTAAGCCTCTATCTTCTTAATATAAATCATAAATAAATCGAATTTTAATTACAAAGAAATCTTTAACAAATAACAAGGCACATGTACACACGCGCGCAGAAAATTTATGTCTGATTGTACAACAAGACATACGAATGAGCTTATGCTTTTGGACAAGCGGATTTTCTTGGATAAAAAGTAACAGTTTGCCGCTATAATTATCGTTATTTGAACATTTAAACGATTGACAAACAATGATGAAAAGTTCGTTCAACATAACGTACAGCGACGTTCAATAATATTCAAGAAAAATCTATTCTTTTTATGAAACTATTGATTGAAAACTACCAAGTTCCGTTGAGATTGATAAGATCTCCATGACATTTGTTTGAACTAACAGACAAACAGACGAGTAGGAATTATTTATGGGATTTACACAGAAAAATAAATTTGTTTTCGGGCTTAACATGCCATGCTCCCCTTCCTTATTAGCGTCAGCTTTACTCTGCATTACATTGTGGAATAATAAATGGTCCATACTGGGGATGAAACTGACGGTTTCATCGCAGTTTGAAACTAGTTGAAGTTATTCGAGTTAGTACTTTTGCCCAAATAAATGTATAAATCGCTCATAAATAACAATAATGGGATTGGAAATAAAAGTACACCAATGATATAAGAATAAATGTGACTAACAAGAAAATATTTTATAACTATATGTATAAACGCACAACTTCATAAAGTATGTACCACACTGAATTGTGTATTGACAATTAATAATCTCGCATTTCAATTAGTCTGCTATTATTAGTTTGCTATTATTGGCCGATATTGATTTGTCACGCATCATATATAATTTCTGACAGCTAATAATACACCAATAACTAATAATTCCTATTATTGTTATTAGCATTACCATAATGAGAATTCTTGTAATTATGATAACCATTACGAATTACATTATTCAAACGACAGATCAAACTACGGTGTGATTATGCAGAAATGGGTGAACGTAACGACAATTACCGTTTTAATTGTCGTTACATTTATTGATAGATGTCTGTTAGAGAGCGCACTTCAATCGGACAATGCATGCAACTAGTATGTGCAGACATGGAACGAGCGCCAGTTACATACACTCTTAGCATAATTAATTAATTATATAATTAAATCATGCTTAATCGCACCTAGCGTATGCTTGCACTTCTCTTTTGCTTGCATAATAGACTAACGTGAAGAATATAGTGGAATATATTTTAATTAAGTTCATTATGCGAACGTGCAACATTTGTTTAAATACAACAATTAATGAAAGAATTTTATTAGAAATATGAAAGAATCTGCTAACAAATTGACTGCAAAAATCAAGTAAAAACCAAGTAATCAACTATTTCGTAATTAAATATATAATACATTTCATTTAAATTTACTTTTAATAAACAATTACGAAAAAAGAGATTCTGCTCGGTTTCTGCTAACAATTTGTCGGTAGGCTCTTCTGGCAAATCAGACTTAATGCGGACACATTTCATATTAATCTGCCGCAATCTTATGTTCAAATCTGTTATGTTCAAAGCTAATAAACCGTTAGTATACTTTGTTAACAAATTTGCGATTTTGTTTATTTTTTGAGAAGTTTATTACTAGTTTCAGTTATAAAATTGTGCAATTTTTATCAAGAGCTACATTAGATGGAATTTCTCCAATAAATGAAAGGTAATAAACGTCGTGAAACTTTTGTCATAACTAACAAGTTTTTTTATCATCACCGTTAATTAGGCACGGATGTGATGCGATTGAGCTTCAATCTCATTCCGGGAGCGAATTGCGGAAAAGTGATAAAAGTAATGCGACGATGAATAGATAGCAGGAGTTTAGGAGCTTTAAATTCTCTTCCTAAAACTTGACTTTGAACAAAACTTAAGCTGAAATCAAAAGAGTTTCTCGAAAAAAGTTTCACAGTATTTATGAAAGAAAGCTTGAAAATAATGGCAATTTGAAAATTTTGCGAGAAATGTGTGCAAGCTGATAATATAAAAAGTATATATGGATGTAGAAGAAAAGCAAATAATATAAAGAGCATATGGTTCGTCGATTAAGGTCGCGGATGATCTTGGTCTTGAAATCCAAAAGTAAATTACACAAAAAAGATAAAGTCAAGTCAGTGAAGCCAGCTGCGACGGTAAACAGAAAGAAGGAAATTTAAGAAACTTAAGTTAAAATTAAAGAGAGAACTTAAACTTGCAGGAAATTTCTCGAAAATTTCTATTATTGTAAGCGAAATCAAAGTTTAAAAGTAACGGAGCATATCGAACAAAACAAAGTAAACGCTTTCCTTTTCACTCTTCGAAGAAATATTCTAAGAAACATAAACGAGAATAATTGAAACTGTTGGTTGTTCCTGAAGTTAACATTGAAGTTCTACAAAACAGTTATTGTAACAAATGCTACGACAATACATAAATAAAAGAAACACAATTATATAATACATACATGTAAAAATAGAAAGAATGAAAAAATCATCACATTGTATTTTAGTAATATTTTCAATGTCTGACTTTTTATGTAAATGACTTGCATAAATAGTAATGTTTTATTACGTGAATGATTAAAGAACGTATTGTGTTTGATTTCATAATGGAGAAAAGGGAATGCTCGAGAAAATACTTCGTAAATTCTCATTTTTACATTTTTCTAAGGAAGCCCAATGCTAATTAGTCGTCGTGGCCGTAATAAGTTCGATAATGACTTTGGCTATAGCAATTCTTTACGTGTATTTCTTGTTCAATATCAACTAAAAAAAATAATCAATTGTTACGGAGTTCTAGGAACACACGGTCATTGATCTAAGGAAAGTTTGATGCGTGTGTTAATTCTTGCTAAGGAAACATTAAACGAGACACTTTAAACATTTATGAGCCCTATTCAGGAATATATTCTGACCAGATTTAGGAATATATCACATGAGTTATGTTCCAAGAGATTTAAGTGCTAGAAAGCGTTGTTTATTAACAAATACAACTTAAATATTTATATATACTGATAACGCAGATTTACAGTCTCTCTCTATATATATATTAATTAAAAATATAATTAAATTATCTCTCTCTATTTTAATTAAAATTATAATTAAATCAGATATTAAAATAAAGTTAATAATACAATAAATTAAAAAATTTTAGTTTTATCTCTTTTTTTAATTAAAAAATAGATTTAAAATACAATAGTAACTAAACAGATTATTTAAAAACAAAGGACAAGGTAAAAGAGATAAGAATGAAAAATAAATATGTAGAATTTTGAAAATTTCTTTTTTATAAAATATTTTTTATAAAATATTTTCCCATAACTATAGATAATCACATAGTTATACAATGCTTGTAGATTCTTATAAATGCATTCTGCGTTTGATGTTATGTGCATCAAACTTGAACGAATATTAACTGCTGTTTTTATTATACGTTGTTCATAATTAATCTATTTTTTTCTGAAACGTCTTTAGATCCATAATAGAAAATTGGAGCTTTCTGTAATTTTTAATATAAAATTGTTATTTTAATTAAAAAATAATAGGACATCCCCCATATATTGAATGGAAAATAAACATATAACATACGAAACCCGTAGCGTATAATTATTATTGCATTATCTATGTGTTTACATCCAAAAAGAATTTTACGGGAAACATTGAGAATACAGGAATACCTACTCGCATCTAGGATTAAACTCGCGGGATTGGATCATAATTACAGATCTACTTTAACTTGTATGAAATTGTAACCGTCAGGAAGACAAGGAATGAGAATAAGGAGAGGAGAGGCATAAGATAGTAGGGATCGTCCGCTCATTCAGTTTATTAAACGTAACTCGCATATCACGAGAGTCTGTGGAAATTACACAATTGAACTCCTCGTGGGATTTGAGTCAAAATGTGCGTCAGAATTTAATTATACAAATAGCACAAGATAAGCTGAATTATCGCTGAAGTAGCGTCATAATTTCATTAGTTTCGTTATATTGAAGCAAATTCAATTAACAAGTTGGTATTTTGTTCTCAATGTATTCTATTATTCGCTCTAGCAATATAAATTATAAATTATGACATTATAATATAAAATGAAGGAGGGAGAGGAAAAGAGAAAGATAGAAGAAATTATATATTAAATATAATATATTAATCTTGATGCATCAATAGGCTCCGCAATGGAATTAAAATAGTATTTAAAAAATTTGCATTAATATTGAAAAAATTTGCACTAAAACTGAGTAAATAAAATTAAAGAAGAAACTATAAACAAACTTCAATGCAATAGTCTAAATGCAATAAGAATTAACAAGGTTACTGAAAAAAATAGTATTAATATTTATTAAAACATGCCAATTTGTCGTATCATGCATCCTCTATTGTTTAATATTCACATTTAATACTATTACTTCGCATTTAATCATTATTATTCGCTTTAATCTTTCATTATTACTCGTTTGTTCTCTCATTATTCGATAGATCGATAGATCTTTCATGAACATTCTATCAGCTAATAGAACCATATAGCACTCAGCGGTTCTGGTTATCCTCAGACTTTGCAGTGTGCACTTACTACAAAATTGCGGACATGTCCCATCGGGCAGTTATCGCTGCACATGCTACGTGGAATGTGAAGCTCGCCGACTCCGGTCGCCCATCGTGTCATATTGATGTCCAGAGAGAGCCTGAGGGAGTAAATTAACCTTTAATTAGCAATCTGGGCGCCACAGTGATTTCATCATTGAATTGTTACATTGAAGACACTGTCGAAGAGAAATGTTATACAAACAAGGCCAATTTTTACGAAGGATTCTGCACAAAAAGATTAAAAATACATAAATCGTTAACTGAATATTTCGTTTTATCTAACACATTGTTTACATGTAATTTTTTATGTTACTTTTGTGTACTTTTTATGTATTACTTATTACGTACTTCTTTTTATTTTGCAAAAATGTAACGAGTTGCTACACATATTATTATCATAATAAAAAAATATAATATTATTATTAGTATAATATTAATAAGGATAATATGTATACAATTTTTCAGCTGATTAATGAGTAATACAGATCATTATTTTTGTTGTATCCAAGGGATTGAATAAAATAAATACTGTAAAAAGATTTCAAATACAAATATAAAATATAAGCAATGTGTACGAAATATTTTTGATAAATATATTTCAATATGTTCGAAATGTAGAAGAACGTTCGAACCTTAGAAATTTTAACGTAGCAGTTTACTTGATTTATATTAATTTTTTAATTAGATTGTAATAGTATACTGTTTGAAATATAAGAGGATTGAAGATTAATACGACAGTTAATTTGTACAACCCGTATCCCGATCGACGGGTGTTTGAAGTTGACTTACTCTTCCCTCCATGTGCCGATAAGGATATAATCAAAACGACCCTCGTCCTTCCTTTGATATTGATAGATGTTGTAAAATCCGTAAGCGTCTCCATCAGAATTAAATTTAATTTCAGTATTTTGGCGACCTAAAACAAAATAAGAATATTAACTTGATAATTTAAACATACGCGATTGTAGAATATAAAACATATAGAATATAGCTATGCTTAAAATTTTTGAAGATTTTTTATATCTTTACTTATATTACTGTCAATTTCAGTTGCATAATCCCAAACATTATCATGGACGTAATAAAAATACTGTTATAGAAATAATATTTTATTAACATAGATATAATGACACACTTAAAAAAAAAACAAATTAAAAATAAAAGGAAAAAAGAAAAGAAATTTAAAAAAATCATTTCAGAAAAAATCAAAGAAAGATTAATTTTTAATATTTAAAATTACTAAAAAATAAACTAAACTAAACTAAAGTTAATGATACATAATAACTGAAAGAGATAAATATAAAAAGTTAAAAAGTAAAACATGGAATTTTGTTATCTAATAATACGATTCAAAGGACTAGAGATAAGCACACGTTGGTCGGTGTAAAAGCGAAGCGGGTTTGGACGGTTAGTCTGCGAAATGTATAGCAGCTATTTCATGCGTGGATTACGGTTTATTTATAGGACACTATTAGATGAAGGACCTCGTACAGCTTCTTTTCGTCCTTGTTAGAATCTATCCCCTTTTCTCGGTTTATCTCTCCATGACCCTCATCGTAATAATTCGATGCTGGCACAACGCAGACCAGCAAATACAAGCAGGTATATACAGGATGTATATAAAATGTTATTTTAAAGACACACCACTAATATGAAAAAATAGATGATATAAGAAAGCTTATTAAAAAAATAGGTTATACAGGGGCGAGGCTGAAGAGAAAAAGGTAATTTTATACGCGAGAGCAAAGAAAATTATAGGCGACTATGAGGGTAAAAATCACGAAGCAAAAGCACAGTCGGGTATCGTAGTAAGATACGAAGAAGATATTAAAATCGTAGCAATAATGTATAGCAATATATTTTCTCGCCATCATCTTCAACGTTGTGCAAACCTGAATTTCTGATATTTCTAAGTGGAGCGTCTCTCATTTTAAAGCTTTTGATTACTTTTTATATTGGTAAAACGAAGAAAGTGAGTTTAAATAAAAAGAAATTAAAATGAAAAAATATAAAGGAAACGAAATTATATAACAAATATAAAAAGAACTTTAATATTTCTATCTTTTAAAATTAGTTTTTTGTTCTAATGTTACAGTAATTTGGAGATAATTTTAAAAAATATATGATACATAGATATATAAATAATATAATTTAGGTACATATTAAAATTATTAAGAGGACATATTTTAATTTGAAATAAGAAAATTATACACATAATATAGAAAAATTAAGGATAAAAATCAACAGAAACAGAATATCTCACAATTTCGGTTTATTTAATAAGCCTATTAGCCGTTTCATCAGAACTAAATGGAAATGCACAAAAAAGAATACTTCTCGCGCTAATCCATTAAGTTATTATTATTATTATTATTACACTTTTTCCTAACAAAGAGAAGCTTGCGGCAATGAAAGCTACGAGATGCGTTTAGTTCAATGAAATTCGCCTAGAGGTTCATCCGTTTTCTCGTGTAATATCAGAATATGCATAGAAACGTGAATATAACAGGGTGCAAACAGGTGCAGGATTGTCAGGGCTAGTAAATAAGTTTGACAAAGGAAAATACGTATACATTGTTATTTTGTGCACGTAAGCGCCCTAGATTTGTGCTGTGAGAGCTCGTTGGGAAAACGCTCAAACAAGTTCGCGGCGTTTGTGCCAAGTTATCGTTATCGTTATCGTTGTAACAAAGCCAGCGGATCGATTATACCGGGAAATTACGCTTGCCGTGGATTATCAATAAGCCGTGGATTATCAATAAGCGTGAGATTTCTAATATGATAAATTTGAATATCCGAGCGACAAACTATTTATTCAGGCAAATATGCCGAAAGTTTCTAAAAAAACTTTTAATTTATTTAATTAAACAAAACTGCCATGCACACAGAAGCAAATAATCTATTTCACTCCATTCGCACATTTCACATTATCTAAATAATCTTTGCTTTTAGTCGCATTTCTTAGCATCTATGAATAAGTGAACAATTATTTCCATAGAGATATATACAGGTTCTTTAAAATTATAAATATCTGTTGAAAAATTTTATTTTTCCCTTACTTATTCTAAAAAAAAATGTTATTTATTCATAATAGAGAAGTAAATAAAGTACAATAATCAAGAATTGAAAAAAAGGACGAGGAGATAAAAAAATAATATGGAATGGAATTTTTCGTTCTCAATTTGCGGTAAGCTTTGTATGCCAGTTTATCTGCAAAAACGTTACGAAAAGAAATGAGAGAGTTTGAGATGCATAGCTTTTACTTTCCGAACGTTAAACAACTGAGAACACGAAATGAGAGAGAGAGAGAGAGAGAGAAGAGAGAGAAAAAGAGAGAAAAATCAGATAACGTCAAAGTTTAAACGAAACTCTTTTCACCGCTTACAGAGTTACGGCTATAAAGTTTTCTTTCACAAAATCCAATTATCAAAAACAATCTACTAATATAAATACAGAGTTCATTGTCTTTATTTGCTGTTTATATGCGTGATATTTGGTGCACGTTGGATTCTCGTATATTTCATATCGCGCAGTAAAACAAATAATTAAGTACTATCGAACGGATTGTTCCAACTAGTTTTACGATAATTGATATTTTTATTCCCATTATTGTGCATTCTGTCCGCAGATTAGTTTTCTAACAATACATATAAACAAATCAAATTAAATCTTATTATTCATTGAGATATTGTTTTCTGCGTGTATATAAAAAAACTTATCCAATAATGATGAATTACAAATTAATATAAAAACTAATAAGTTTTTACAAACTCCTTTAATTAAAATAATTAATAAAACCATAAATTATATATTGCAGGCAATAGGAGTCGACGCTGGTTATCGGTTAGCGCAATTTTATCTTAATACTAAATGTATAAACCTTAACTTTGAACGTTTCCACTCATGGTTTGAGTCTTCATCAGTAATCTTTCACCCTAACGTAACAATTGGAGTATTGCATGATATCTCCAATGTTTTTCCTCTCAAATATTGAACCGTTTACTGTTGTGAGGCAAGTCAACATACTCACAAAGTTAGAAAGCTGAGTGGCAATGAGAACTCAAGCTCACACAGTCGAAGCTTCTACACTGAATAATGAACCTTTTCTTCGTAAACATTTTGTAATTTGTTAAAATTTTATAAATTATCGTCAATATTTTATAAATTATCCAATAATATTACATCTAAGAATGTTTATAGAATAAATAAATAAATTAATATATAAAAACACATGTATTATGATATACTTATACATAATATATATATAAGCATGTATATTATCTGTATGAGGAAATTTCTCTTGGCATATACATATATCGTATTTATCAAATGCAACTTATAGAGGATTTGGTTAGACGCATTAATGCATATTAAAGCCGTTGATTAAATCTATGTAAAAGTAAAATATTTCAAATATTTCAAATTATAAAATACAGATTTTACTTTAATAGCACGATAAAATATATTGAACATTTCATGGTTTAATCTTATATTTGTATCGAACACATATTTTGACGTCAATTTATGTACGACGGCTTTAATGTGCACCAGCGCGAGTGCATTCAATTGAATTCGCTATTAATACCTTCTTACTTCATTCAAATAATCTAGCATTTGTACAAATCAAATTAAAGTTCGCGCAAAAAATATTGGATTTAGATTAAGCGAAGAATAAATGTCTTATAGTACTGGGTGTACACTGGTTTCATATATATTCTGCAGTTTATCTTAAAGATTATCCTTCATTTATACAGCTAATATTGATAAATGGGAGCTATTTGAGGTAAGATATTCCGACACGACTAACATCCTGATAGCGTAAATGCCTCGGGGATTAAAAGCGGACAAAGGCGTAAGAGCGCGCGGGTTTGAAAGATGAGATGGCGATGTTATGAAATTATTGGAAAAGCTAGGGAAAAGGGGAAGGAAAGTAAGTTTGAACGTTATGCGCAATATCGTTACGATAAATCTCGGCTGATACGCGAACGGGAGATGGCCGGTTAAGATAATCTCATTGCCATTTGATAGTATCTCGTAACGAGGGGCAGTTTTAATTGTGTCGCAGAGTCCACTGACGTGAAAGTGTTACGTGCTGTTAAATCGGGGAAAGTGTTTTAATTGCAATATCGATGAGGCGTCCAGATTGCCACCCTCTGACGTCACTGATAGATCGCTACATACGCGGAACGATGCAATTGCAGCTCAGCATACGCGGAATTCTCGCGGACATAATTGATCGATGTGTCCAAGCCTTTCAATTTAACAACTTTTTTTTACATTCGACGTGTGGAAAATAGTAACGACTATTTGACCAATTAATCAATGCTGCGTCGTGCGTTACACAAATGTGTCAAAGGTTCTTATGATATTCAATGATTTAAATCCACAAGCATAAAAGTATTATAATAAGAGATGCAACTAGAATTTCAAGTAAAATTACATATTCATTATACGTCCTTTGCGCAGCTTTAAAATTATGCTTGAAAGTTAAATTAAATGTTAAATTAAAAATTACTTTGAAAGAAAAGCTGCTTTGCGTAACTCACCGATGAAGCTAATATTACGAATGTGTTGGAGGAGTCGTGGACCGTCCGGTGCTGGTATGAGCGACTCGCAGAGATAATGCGACGTACCCAAATTATTTACGCACTCTTCCTCTATAACATTATGAACACTGTGTGCCATGGCGTAAACTGCATCCACTGCAAATAAAATGATAATATCCTGTTTCAGCAATGTTCTAATAAATGAATATTATCTATCTAATCTGTTGAGAGGTTCCTAAATAAATATTATTCTAAGTAACAAGCTGTTATTTTGACGTCAATGTAGGTATAGTCATTTTAAATTACTGACGTCATGTTATTATGTTTATTTAAAACGTAACAATGACATCATCTTTTTGACCAATTAATGACGTCATTTATTTATCCATTCTATGCGAGGGGGTAACCACTTAATGTAATCGTGGGACAGAGTCCTCGAAATCATTATAAAATTCATATGAAATTTCTATGTATAATCCGATTACGTATGCAACCACGATAAATCATTGTATAATATTAAATAAATTCGTATATTTTAACAAACGACTTCATATGTAGCAAAAAAAATTATTTGTAATCAGATGAAATCATATGATGTCATGTAATCTGTGGGATAATATTTCAGCTAGTGGTTACCCCCTCGATTCTATGACGTATTTACAACGTCATTCATTTATGTCGTTAATAACACAAAAATAATGACGTATTTTCGACGTCGGTTTATATGATACATTATGTGGTTATTTCAAATTCACATTATTTTTACAATAATACGATGTAGATTCATCAAGAATGATTAACTAATGACATCAAATAGACGACATCTTGCTACTTGAGGTATATCATAACTTAATTAAATGTATCTGTTTTTCTAAAGGAGGAAATTTGTTTCTGTAAATAAACCAAAAATGTGAAAAAATCACAAATCCATCGTAAAGCATTAAAAATCGCATTAAAGAGGATGGTAACTTGCTAGTACAGAAAAACAAGGAATTTCACGTTTATGTCCGAGATCCTTGAAAAATAGAGCGAATTATGTTTCCAAACATTAAATAAAATATTTATGTGTCCTGCTTCTATCTTCTACAATCTTATTTATCTCATTCGTTACGTAGTGAACATTTATTATTTATTTATTCACAGATAAAGAAAACATCAAATACAAATTGTTACTTATGGAAAAGACGTTTGGCAGTTAATAAGACGATTTACAAGATTTATCTACCATTGTGATGCACTCGAAGGTAAAGAGTTTCCGATCGTTTCGCACTTAACAAGATTTCGTCATTTATCTCACGGAAGAATAAGAAAGGAAAGAGGGAGAGAAAGAGCATAAGTGCGGTATTTGGGAAAACGTAAAGGTTGATTTCGTGCAACTATTTTCACATGCCATTGGATGTATTTGTTAACTAAAAAACCATAGGAAAAATCGAGGAAAATTGTTTCGTTCGGTTTGTCACTGTTTCCTTTTTTTTCGTTCGTCGTGATTTCACCTCGCGAAAGTTTGTCACGAAAGTTTATTCAGAAAGTATACAATCTAATGGATCGTGGAGTACAGTCAGCTGCGATTAATTGCGAACACTGACGAATTCTTACGGACAAACGATAGCGATCTGGGATATTATATTTATTTTTTTAAATTTTGCCTTCTTTTGTTTGCTTAAATTTATTAATTAGATTTATTTATGCATGAAACATACACGTATACATTTACATTGAGCGTAAGTCCACAATCTTCGAAAAATATTTAAAAAGTTTGAAAATATATATATATAATGTTAATTATTAATTAAAAAAAATTAAAATATAAATTAACATATCATATATTATATTCAAACTGTGTGTGTGTGTGTGTGTTTGTGTGTGTGTGTGTGTGTGTGTGTGATAATTTTATATGATAAATAGATATATATAGACGCGGTATATTATTGCTCCATGATAATACTAGACCGCATGTTGCAAAACAAACCGTTCAAAAATTAGCAGGGTACAAATGCGAAATTCTCTCTCATTCTCCTGACCATTCTCCAACAAATTTATTTAAGTACTTGGATAGCTTTTTATGTGAAAAAATATTTCAAGCAGAAAGTGATGTGAAAAGTGCATTGTGGGTTCAACCAATTTCTTGCATCTCACTCTTTCAATTTCTACGTGAAAGGCATTGACGTGCTTAGCGCTTGTATCACGTTGGAGGAAGTACAGATGAATCATGGTGAATAGAGACTATTTCAACCGACAAGATATCTATAAAGTGTATCGAGTAAAAGTTTAAATTCAAAGTATAACAACGGTTACTTTACCTACAAAAACCTAATAGAATTTTGAATATTTTGTTTCTGAAACAAGGATCATATGTTTATATAAACTTTTTTTCCATAAATCAATTTAAAAAATGTGGATATGCTAATCAAATCGCTTTTGTCGACTGGATATGTATATATAGCGGAAAATAGACTGCATACACTAGATTTGTAAACATGCATCGGGCGATGAACAAAAAGAGAAATCGTGTGATAAATCCTTTTAATTTAAGGTTCACTGTTATCTCACTGACGTATAAGTCTCGTCATATAAATATATATCGGAATGATTGAAGAGACGACTACGTCTTTCTCGTTTCTGCTTTTGAACTAACAATAAGAAAAATGATCGAAGGGTGACGAAAAATTGGAGGGTGACGAGAATATTTCCTTTGCCTTTCATTCTTTTTCCTACCGATAACTATCTTTCCGCTTGTCTTATTCCTCGCTCTTTTTTCCGCACCAATCATTTCCTTCGCACTTCAAGATATAAACGATCGCGAAATGTCCCTATAAAGAGTTCCAATTTAGTATCCGCAATTAATTAACCGTCACGGTATGAATGAAAGGAGTTTTTATACGTTTTTTTTTATTACAATAAAATTACAACTGAGCTGTAATTTATTTATTAGAATATTCACATCAATAATAATGAATGAGGAAAGTTAGATTGATTTTTCCATCAAAATTAATAGCTTTAAGCTATTAAATAGTTAATTGTCAATTCTCACAAAATAAATTAATTCTAAAATGTAATTAGAAACTTTATTCAATCAGCTGATTATTGAATTTCGAGAATTACAATTCGGAACTGAGAGATAAAAATGAAAATCAGTTTTCATTCTTGACTTTTTCTACCCCTGAGTTAAAAATTGTACTCATACATTATTCATACATTCAGAAAGATACATCGGCATAAATCGATTACCGGCATATACTTTTTCTTCTGTGCGACATAAAAGTAAAATAGCTAGGCGTTCAGAGAAAAGTATAACGGTATGATAAATCTATGCGTTACCGACAAAAGGCACCAAGCCCTCTTGTTCGTAATCGACAAGGTTTTCTTCGCCAGTGCAGCGTGTCATGTCGCTCGACGCGTTCACGCTGAAAGTGCACTTGTGATGTTGCGACCAAAACTCTCGGAACCAGATATTCCGGCAGTTCACTGTCTTATCCGTCAAAGACTTATGGGGAACATTCTTCCCTGTCTGCCCGCCGCATTCGTCGCCCATTCTTGGCCGCAATCTCAAATAGTAGTTGTCGAAATCTACAACATCGGAATTGAACCGTACTTGTTACACGAATCACATTCAATAAAATTTAATAGTTCCAATATATCAAGCTTTTTGCCGAAGAAATTTCTTGTGCCTCACAGTCACGATAAAATTGAAATAAGGATAATTTAATTCAGGAAAGCTGACTTTATCGAAATACATTAATTTTTTATTTAAACTTATACCCCATAAAAAGATACAATTTTTCATCTAATTTTTTTATTATATGTATACTTTATAACAATAATATAACTTATAATTTAAAAAATCTATTAAAATCTTTTTGAAAAGTGTAATTTGACATAAGCATTAAAAATAGGAAATTTTGTAAATCAATTAATTTCTATGATCTTTTCTATTAATATATATATATATATGTGTTATATACACTGTTAAAAAACAGAAATTTGCTTCCGTTACATGTAATGGAAGCAAATTTCAAGCAGACACATTAAAAATATTTAATGTTGTCAATGAAAATGAAGTTATAAGTAACTTAAATTTAACATTTACTTACATCAAATTTTATGCAAATCTACATAAAATTTAATTAAAAAATGTACTAAACTTCGTAAAATTTTATGAAACGTACACTAAATTTCATGTACATGTACAAAAATATACTTTTTAGTTACAGATACATAAAATTAATTTAGTGTCGTAAAATTGAATTTAATTTATGTAACTTAAATTTCATATGTACATTAAATTTCATGATATTTTTAACTGTGTATATAAAATTAAATGTATTAGATCGGTAATCGACATTAGATACCGATGCTACAATAAAAGATGTGTTATAGCGTCTTAAAAGAATATATTTTAACAAGCCAATTTGATTCACACCTATTGAAAAATTTATTTATTTGCATAAATATTCTATCAAATAAAGTGGATTTTATTTTCGAAATAGAGACGTAAATTTTAATTTCTGATAATAAGAACAATAATCTTATTACTATTGTAACATAAATGGAATTTAAATAATATAGAAGGACGTAAAACATTCTTTATATTAAATACAAAATATTTGGGATAAAATAATTTATTTCATTAATAATAAAATACGTATTAACATATTTTTTTACACCTATGTTGGGGAAAAATATTTAGTACAATTTTTATATTTTTCTTCAAAAAGAAGACAATTTGATAAGGTTTTATCATTTTTATCATTATATTTTAAACGCTTCAAACTTCAATCACATTCTATTTTTTCAATTAAATTTTAAAACTAGATTTACTTAAGTAATCGTGAGTCTCAAAATGACTTTTGGAAGAGACCGTGAAATGATAAGTAAGATGTTATTTTTAATAATTATAATTTCAATTACAGTGATTACAATATTATTAGAACTTCAAAATTAAAATGCAGTTACTTCTAATCTCCAATTTATTCAAAGGCAAATGTAATCATATACCTATAATAAAATTATTTTTAAAAAATACATTTCTGAGAAATAAAGGTTATTGCATAATATTATGTAGTAATTACCGTTTTGCCTATTATATACAATAGTACCTATACTGAAAAAAAACGTTTTGTTAAAAATGGATGAACCAGAAAATTGATTATATTAATCAAAATTTTCTGATTTGTCCATTTTCAATCAAACATTTTTTTCAGTTTATATTAAGAAGATGATGGCTTTTTTGGTATTTAGTAGACTTTCTGATAATTTAGGTTGACTAATGAGAGTTTGGCACTCCTGTGTTAATTACTTAGCGAGAAACGGCGAAATGCACTATTGTGTGTGTTCATTTCTTTGAAATTTTATCCTGAAAATCTACATATCCTAACTCACGAGTCAGGAATGATGCAACATAATTGAAAGAGGAAAATATTACTCACTTGTCATGTAAGATTAATGAACGTCAGGTCAAAGTTGGAACGATATCACTACTGCGGCAACAAAGTTGCACAGTAAGCAACTGCGGTAACAAGGAATTTCAATTGTGGCTCAGTAAAACGGAACAGGTACGTTAAGGATTTAAGTGCGTTAACTAATTTAAACAAATATACGAGTCATACAAATTAAGTGAATTAACAATTCAGTTACATTGATTTATTTTAGCTTTAAAACTATATTTAGAGTCTTACAATCTAGCACTACATTCTGTTCTTTTAATATTATGTTACTAATGTTATATTTATTTAAAATTATATTCCCTGAAAAAAAAATTATTAATTTTAATTCTCATTTTATTGTTTATCTTTGATCAAAGGTGAATTCAAAGTAAATATTCTTCCAATTAATCGATTATGATAGGAACGTAAAAGGTAGCAAAGGTATTTTACCTTTGAGGGCGTTCCTATAGGGCAGAATGGTAATGGCACCTTCCGCCGCGAATTCTTGATCTCGGACGGGGTGAACTTTGGCACCCCACGAATCGCTACCCACCCACATGAAATGGCCCGTGCGATTGGCCCTTATTGTTGCCTGAAGCAGCTTCCTGCAACAAGATAAGCTGAGTGATAAGGATAGATGAATTATGAGCAATGATGAGCACGGCTACCATTAACCTACCACAAGTACAATAGTATCTTCTATGACCTCCGCAATCAGTTAACTAAATCCATAACATATATATCATAAGATATTGTTCCTTATTTCCCTCCTTGCTATTACGTTTGAATATAATTCAAACTTGAATGTAGCGATATTATAGTTTTCTTATTCATTGCTTTGATATTTTTTTTTAATATGTTGATGCATTTATGTAATATTATGCACCTCGTTAAAACATAAATGATATATATCTTTTGATTTATTAAAAAAGTATTGAAAAAAGAGTGTTTAAATGTGTGTACGTGTGTACATATAATTGTACAAATACTTGTTGTAACTGCATAAGCATTTGAACTCCTTTTTCTAACTTATTGTTAATATAAGTATGTATATATGTTGCTACAATAAGTATTTGACTTCGTGATTAATTATCGATTTGTGTTCTAAAACAAAAAGGAAGATCTAATTTATCTATAAATTCAAGAATTTGTGTATATACTTATATTGTTGTAATTACACTGTAATTACACTGATAAGATAGACATTTGTAAAAATTAATTTGTACTACTTATAGTGTTTCATTTATAATGTTTCTATTCTACTAAAAATATTAAAAAAATCAATGATTTGTGCTATTGACAAGTGCGCCGAAAATTAATTCATGCTATTACTTATTAAAGAAAGAAGAATTTTTCTCATTATTAGTAGCAATTCGCATTATTAAATAAACATTTTAAATAAAATAATGGGTTTAATTATACTTTAATTTCTTATATTAATTTGTTATATTAAATATTTCCGTTGATGTAATATAATACAAATTAATAAAAAAATTGAGATAATAAGCTAATGCTTCACTCTATATATATAAAACACACATCTCGGTTTTTTGTATAATGTAATTATGTAATTATTATTTATACAGAAATCTCATTCGCTGTGATTTCAATAAAAACTTTTCTCACGTACCCGATGTTGTCAGATTATAATTAAAAATATCTTATATTCTTTTGATTTTCAATTACAAACATGAAATACAGGAACAATGATTTCTACAACAATTATTCCTATCTAACTTTGTTAAATAGTCAATAAGATCGACTTGGCTAGTACTTGACTTAACTCAATCGTAACAATAAGAAGATCGTTGAAAGGACTAGCTCTCGTATTACAACGTCAACTTAAGCTCCGTAGGGAACCAGGATGAGATTCAATCGCGTTAATCCGGAAAGATATCGACAGGAGAAACGCTGATAGCGAGCCACAGATCGATATCAACTTATCGGTTCATGGAAATCGAATCGTTCCGATGTTCCGGTAATGGCTTTTCTCCAGCGTCGGGAAACTCGGTCCAGAAGTCAATTATTTACCTTGCAAGGTTCAAGCCGGAGATCGTAAGCAGCCGAGAAACATTGCGCCCGACCGGTCCGACGGAACTTGCTGATGGACAAACAGCGAGAATCTGCGACCGATCGTTATCTTGTAATTCCCGTGAGCTCGGAAAAACAACTTCACTTGTCCGCGTGTTTACTTCAACGTTCAGTTTCTTTGCCCTTTTTCGAAAAAGGCGTCGCGCTCCGTTGTTCACTTCATCAAGTTCATTTTTGCTAACAAAAAGATTTTTAGATGCGTTGACTACTAGGTATTGATTACAAGAGTTGCTTGCTGATTCGTGTATTAATTTCTTCGATATTTTTATCTTCTTCGATTTTTAATAGGGAACAATTAGTTCGAATAGGTTTTTTTTCAATTATAAGTAAAAGCGCAATATCAATTACCTATTTTTGACAGTTCTTTCCAGATTTGTAATAAATTTTTATATGTAATGTAAAATAGCTATAATTTATAAGGATATAATTTGTACATATACATAAAAAATTTACGAATAAATACGTCAATTGAAGTGTAAATGAACGCAATAAAGAAAAAATAGGTAGACAGTTTTTTTTATATTTCTATTCAAATTACAAATTCACAGCAAAATATAAGCACATCTATGATTTTGTTTATCTTGTATAAAGATCACAACGTTATCTCGCGTTGGAAATGAAATCTAGCGTTAAATTTATGATATGAATACGAACCTTAGTTAGCACACAATTAACCTACATGTATAGTACTGCTGAAAGCTGGATCTAGTTGATTTAGTGCTATAAAGGTAGTTAGGTAGCTGTGGTGATATTTCATAGCTTAATTACAGTTTCTCCAAATTTCATTACTTAGTGGGAAGCAGTACATTAGAAAGTATTTTAAGACACGTATTATTACAAAGCGGAAAGGAGAAGGAAATTTGCTTCAAAATTCACGATTTGAGATTTATTTTCAAAGTTTAATCCAATTAATTATTAAAGTAATTAAGTAATTTTAATCCAATTAATTATTAAAGTAATTAAGTAAGTGATTAAATCATTATCTAAGTTTTCATCACTTTCATATAATTACAATCCGGCACAAAGCAGTTTAAACATGTTAATTTATGGTAAGATGTCAATAACATTATTTTTTTATGCAGAAGTAAAGATAATATTAATTATATTTATACTCGAAATTCTTCTTAACATTCTAGATCTAGACTGATCCTAGATTGTGTCTCACATTTACCGTGTTACGACCACTGCGAAATATTTGCGTAGAGATATTTAAATTCTTCATTTAGGTGCTTTCTCTCTTTCTCGCATTTTTACTTTCTTCGTCTTTATACATTTTGCCGCAAGTAAACCTCTTTTCCACTTGTGTCTCGTTTCTACCTAAGAAGATTAGTTGTCGGAAAAAAGTAGCCGAAAATCCCTTCTAACAGTTAGCACGGCGATGGGAAACAACATCACGTCCAAATGGTCGAACTAGAATTCAATTAAACAACTTTCTCCTATTGCAAAAAATTGAAATGCAACCGTGCAAAACTTTTTTAATCCGATGTGTGATTCAATCTATGTCACAGTCCAAGCACACAATGTTTGATCTATAAACTCTATTTGTACATAGAAAATTCAATGTAAGCCGCAGTATTAAAGCAAAGCTATTTTATCTAATACAGTTAGTTGTTATCTAATGCAAAAAAGAACGCAATACAAGGCATTTCGATATTGCAAAGAAAAAAAATATAATGCATTTTGGTATTGATATAGATTATTTAAATGACCTGATATCATAACAAGATATAAAGCTAATATACGTATAGCAAATAAATTTTTTTCATAATTAAGTTTTCCGCGAATTTTATTTAAGTGTTTTTCTAATAATAAAAAATGAAGAAATTGTATAAGTTAAATTAATTTATCACATCCTTATTAACATTTAAATTTAAATACATCATCCATTAATATCCTTATCAATATAAATAAACATTTTGTTTTCTACAGAATCGCGACAGTATCTAAATGTTTTAATGTTGTGTTTCAAACAACACTATTCATTCTTAAGATATTCGAGAACAATTTCTGAAAGTTACCGATATATTACGGAATAAAACGAAGGGCAAACATAAGAGGGCTATCTAGCTAGCTGATCCAGCGATCGATTTTACAATATATATCGAGGTCATAGATTGCGATCGCTACCAAGAATGTAACTATCCACTTCTCCTTCTGTTTCGGTCAATAAAAGATAAAAGAAAGAAGCGAGAAATGTATATCCGAGCCTCCCACCTTTGGCTGAAAGTTTGACCAGTTTCGAACGGATTGCAGGAAGGTTCAGCCACTGTTGTACTATCGATAAGTCGGCAATAACTCTGGAGATACTTCGTGAAACTATATTCGAATTTTTTCAAAGAATGTACTGTTCGTACATAACATACAGAAAGCGACAGATATAGTGTTCTTGAAATTATTGTATATGAGTGTATTTCTTTTAAAAATGGGTCACTAGATAGTTTACGTTTCGCAAACTACAGTAAATTGAATAAAAGAAATGTGTGTGTGTTGCTAGTCATTTTGCAATCTGCAGACCGTATTCTGATCCCAGGTTCCTCTTTTTTTGTTTCATATACATTCTTTTTTCAGTAGTAATTTGATAAGTCGTTTCTTCTTAAGCTTTTAATACTTATAGTTTATAACCTTTATTTACTTGTATTTTATATACATTGTTTATTAGCATTTAATACTAATATAATAAATTTATATATTCTATATTTATATATTATATATCAATATTATAATTTTATGTATCACGAAAGAAATTTCGGAATAAATTATTTTCATTTAAAAAAATTATTATATAATTCCATTTTTATAAAAATATATAATATAATAAATTATGTAATACAAGAAAATTAAAAATTATGAAAAAAGTGAAATATTCAATTTTTATTAAGAACAAATCAATATTTTTATTTAAAAATTTATATGCTCTCTCTCTCTCTCTCTCTCTCTCTCTCTAAAGAAAAACAGTTTTAATCCTCGCTTAACGTTAAAATAACGTTGGTGCAATCGGGTCTTAAATATCTAATAAAAGATTAATTAATTAGAAAATATGTGTGTGAATACCTTGTTGAAGTACCTGATAAAAGAATAAAATTTCAATTATTTTTTTAATATAATAGAATTGTTTTTTGGTTTTTTTTTTTGATGGATTTGATCCATGATCTCTCTCTCTCTCTTTCTCTCTCTCTCTCTATGAAAAGGCCATTCTAGGATACTATAATAGGAAAAAAACCTTCAAAGAGTAAAGGATGATCTCTCTATTAACGTATGGTGGCCGGGAATAACGTGGGTTATGTGTGGGAAAACATTACCCGGGTTTTTCCGAGGTTGACGCCAACGTTTCTTTCGGGCCTTTGGCAGTTCGCCAAAAATTTCATTGCTTGCGGAAGCGCCTTCGGACGATGGCGCGACTCCAAGGTATCCGTGCTAGGTGGTTGTTCGATAATGTATCGTTTCCTCTTGAATGCGCAATAAAGTCTCGCTGCTTTAAATAGACAGCCGAGCGCTTCTTTCGAGAAGGGAAAAA